GTGTGGATACAGGAAAAAACTAACTAAATTTCCCTCTAACTTATTCAATTATGATTCGTGGTGCATGCCTGTCTTTAAGCTGATATTCATGTCTTAATATCATTACCAGCACCATCAATCAATACTTAATTTGGTACCCACATCATGCTAAGCAAATAACAGCAAAATAAAATAAAAAGAAAAATTGACGTGACTACTTGCTCTGAATTTAACAACATGAAAATATCCATTAAAAAATCAACTATTATTCATCGAAGATATAAAGCTATAATGAATTCACTGGTTGTCTTCAAGTTATTTATCATTTTCCATAATAGGTTTATATTTTCAAAGCATAAAATTTCACCATATAATCTAACTTCTAATCATTATTGGAAGAAAATTTCAGACCAGAAAGTCCCCCAAAGGGAAAGAGTGACAGGCTAATATTTATTTTTTCTAACGTATTCTTAATCAATGCATTTATACAGAATATATGAGAAAATCAGAATAGGTGAGCCCCCATTGGCAAGTAAAAGTCTATTTTTCAGCCAGCTTTTTATTCTGCTTACCTCTCCATGTTTTTGCAGAAAAATATTAAGAGCTGATAATATTAAAGCCATGGTACGAGCTTTAAGGATAATTGAGATCATTAAGGTCCCTGAAAATGGCTACAACTGGGGGGGGGGGGAAGTCTATTTTTCAATAAAAATCTGAAAACTCTTTGCCATTCTGAAAGTCATTTAAAAGTCATGGCAAAGCTTGTTCTTAGTTTGGGGCCCAGAATCAGCTCTTGAACTGATGCAATCTGAAATTAGAGCCAACAAATGTTTACCTAAGTCTTTGTCCCAAAGGGAGAAGGTTCTTTTCTAATCCTTCAGAAGTGATGCCTTGAGAGATGAGGAAGTTGGGAGGAAAGGCTAGAGACATCTGAATTAATTTTGAACCATTATTTCCTTTTTCTAGCAAAAACTAACCCTAAACATTTTTCATGGTATGTAATAATTTATAATCAAGTCCCCCTCTATTGGAGGGTTTAATTAACTTCTTGTGAAGTTGCCACTCTTTCCTGGGAGCCACATGATAAACAGGAAGTTCATGCCTCTGGGGCTTATTCGTTTAGGAATGGAAAAAATGAAGCTGTGGACTTTCTCAAGATTGATTTAGAAAGGAGAGCTCATTAATTTACCGTACCCTCCCCCTTATCTTCTCCAGAAAGCTAATAAACAAAGTGACTGCACAAGCTGTATTCCACCTCTCAGGAATAAAAACTGTCTTGGGCCCATATGTGGCTGGAAGTCAGTTTGGGAGCTCTGCATCAGTCTTTTACGAATCTGCATCCCTCAAGTAAAGGGAATCAGCTGCATTTGGAGCTTCTCTGACAGTGTGTTCTCCCATTTCTGTTGCTGATCCAGTCACAAAGCTCCAGAACTGAAACCAAAGGGGAGAATCTACCCTTTTATGTTACTTAAGAGTCACAAAGTGTCAGATGCCATACAAAGTGAGAGCATATTTTTCATAAAGGGAAAAGAGTACTTCTCAGAAAGGAAGTCTTTGCGGTGATAGATTAATTCTGTTTCTTAATTATGGTGGCGATTTCACCAATCTGCATTTAATAAAATAGTGCTACTATACACACTTCTATTGCATCATTGTCAATGTCTTGGGTTTTGCTATTATACTGTTACAGTTAAATAGTGTACAAGCTTTGCTGAGACCTGTTCAGTAACACTGTTGTGATTATTAGTCGAATATGACTCATAGTGACCCTATGAACAACAACATATCTGAACCCTATCCTATCCTATCCTATCCTATCCTATCCTATCCTATCCTATCCTATCCTATGCCATCCACATCATCTCTGACACACTTGCGCCCATTGCTGCAGTCACTGGGTCAGTTCATTTCATCAAGGGTTGTCTTCTTTTTTGTTGACCCTCCCTCCACCTTTCCAAGTATGACATCTCTCTCCAATGAATAGCCTGTACTAGCAACATGCCCAAAATATGAGTTAAAGCTTTGTCATCTTTGCCTCCAATGAGTATTCTAGCTGCGCTTTCTCCAAAACTTATCTGTTTGTTCTTTCTGCAGTCTATGGGATATGCAGTACTCAAAAAGACCTCAGTTAAAAGGCATCAGTTCCTCTTTTGTCACCCTTATTCACGGTCCAGCTCTCAGCTGCATAGTGAGTAATTGTGCCTGAATGAGGCACACCTTAGTCTTCAAACTGATATCATTACTTCTCAGTAATTTGGAGTGGTCCCTGACAGCAGGCTTGCCCAATGCATCATCTCTCCTGAAACACTCTCCTGACTGCTAGTACCAAAGGTGTTGATTGTGGATCCAAGTAAAATGAAATCGTTGTCAACTTCAGTCTTTTCACCAATTATCATAATGTTGCTTTTAGGTCCAGTAGCGAGGAGTTTTGTCTTCTTCATGTAAGCAACACACAAAGCACTAAAGGAAAATTAGTGGCTGCAGATGTGGTGCATCGACTGGGAATTAAAGTTAGAGTCTCACACACAGACGGTAAGAAGTCTACTTTAAAAAAAAAATTGAAATGAAACTACCAAACATTTCAGACGAAGCTAGACTCAGAAGAAAGGGCAAGCAATCTGAAACTCAGCCTATGAAAAGTCTATGGATCACAATGGTCTGTTCCATAAATAATCATGGGGACATCTGAGGACCTGTAGCTCCAGTCGTCCAGTGGGTGACCAAAAATCACAACTTGGGGTTGGCCAGTAGGCAGCTTAGCTATAAAGGCAGTAAAGGAAGTTTTAAGTACTGGGAAGAAATTAAGGCTTGGAGCCATGTAATTTTTAAAATACTGTCTGCAACTTAGGGCTTCAATCCGGTTCTTGCCAGTTCAGTCATGGTCCAGGAAGTGAAACTGAATCAAAATTTCTGAAAGGACAATTAGCCTAGGGAAGTTACAGGTCAAAGCTCCACTAAAACCTTGATTATCTTTTCAGAAAAGAACAATCTGCACCTCCCATAGCAACCAACTGGAGATTTGAAACAGCAGTGCCTGTCTTAAAGGCTCTTCATAGTCCTGGAATAATCCAATCTCTCAAATCTGGCTGCAGAAAGGACTTTCTTCTCAGTCTGTCATTCCACAACATTGAGTTCTTTTTGCTCTTCAGGCATCCACAGTTTACTTCCACAGTCATGGCTGACGTGATTCAAATCCATTTGGAAGCACTGCTACAACTTCCTGTAAATCTGTTCTTATTTCAAAATTGTTTAACGTTTCAAAAAGTGCTCTTTCTGTGCACACTGATATCCTCGGAATTGGAACATTCTGCATGAAGGCAAGTCTTGGTGAACAGGGCCCAGTGTGATTTGTAAATGTAAAGTTTTCAGCCACAATCCCACAGAAAGCTTGAGAACGAGAATACTTTGCCTTTCCCTCTGCCAAGGGTTCCCCCTCTCAAAGTTGGTTCCTTCTCATCTTTCAGGTCACACCTCAAAGGCCATCTATATACAGAGATCTTCTCTCATCTCCCTACCCCACCCCAGCCCCAGCACTTGGTTCCCTTCAAATAGCACTCCACTAGGTGTAAATGTTTTATGTTATTTCTTGCATACTTACACATTAGAATGCAAATTTCAGAAAGGCAGGATTGGAGGAAGACTCCTCAACAACCTACATTATGCAGATGAAACAACCTTGCTTGCTAAAACTGAGGAAGACCTGAAGTGCTTGCTACAGGTGAAGGACTGTAGTCTTCAATATGAATTGAAGTTCAACACCAAGAAAGCAGATTCCTACCACAAGGCCAATTGGCAGCACCATGATAGAGAAGAGATTGAGGTTGTTAACAATTACAGCTTGCTCAGCTCCACAATCAACATTCTTGGCACCAGCAGTTAGGAAATCAAAAGATTAATTGCTCTGGGAAAATCTCCTGTCGGGGACCTCTCTAGAGTATTGAAAAGCAACGATGTCAGTCTAGAGACTAAGGTGCACCGAATCCAGGCCACGTTCTTCGCAATTACTTGCTATGCATTAAAGAGCTGGACAATGACTAAGGATGACAGAAGGAGAATTGATGCCTTTGCATTGTGGTGCTAGAGAAGAGTCTTGAACATACCATGGACTGCCAGGACTGTCTTGGAGAGGGTGAAACTAAGTTTCTCCTTGGAGGCTAGGATTTTGAAGCTCCAGTTCACATACTTTGGCACGTGGCCAGGAGGGACAAGTCCTTGGAGAAGGACATCATGCTCAGAATAGTGGAGGGACAATGCAGGAGAGGAGAGGAGACGATTGATACAGTAAGTAACTGGGGCAATGGGGTTAAGTGTGTTGGAGACTGTGAGACTGGCTCAGGGCAGGACAGGAATCAGAGCTGGTATACATAGGGTCGCTATGAGTCGCAGGCAACTCAACAGCACATAACAACGAACCCCTTGCCTGCAATCCCTCTGGCCGAGAACTGCCTGGCATATAACATGTGCACAAAATTATTTTGTACGAATAACTGAACCTCACTGGAACTTTTCTGCTCGGGGTTGTTCGTCTCAGCTCAGTCCTCACCTTGACCTCAATGCCGCCCCCTCAGCTTTCTCTCAAGTCGGATGCCATCTTGCCCAGAAGCGCGAGGTTTTAAAGCCTGTACTCAGAAAGGTGTCTTCTCATTTTCATTTTTCCCTCAAGTCGTTCCTTAATAGTAGTTGTTTCCGAGATCTCCACCTCTGTCTCGGTGGACATTGGGCGCCAATCTCGCTTTAGGTAGGGGGAGGGGCGATTCCGCGCAGGCCACGCCCATCGGTGACGCCCACTAGCGGACCTAACGGGGAAGTGATCGTAAAGCATCAGTAGGGGTCGGGCCAGCCTACGGGAGGGCGTATCCTTCTGGACTCTGTGCGCTGATTGGCCAAGTTGATAAGCGGGCAGGGCTACGGGAGGAGTAGGGCTGCATGCAATCCAGATCTAACGCGCCAGATCGTCCCGGCTACTCTGGCTTCTGCAAGCGATAAGGAATTGCGGCGACTCCTGCACGAGCAGCATGGCTGAGAAGCGGAATGCGGCAGATACCCAAGCCCGGCGGGTCCCCGACTCTTTCAAAGGTGAGTTCAGCTCGACTGGAGGAACTGAGAGTCTCCTCTAACCAGTGAACTCTTCCCTTGGGAACGTTCCCCAGCTTAGGGCGTGGGCTCGGCGATCGGAGTAACCAGAGTTTAAAGGCGCTTCACAGCTATGAAGTTTCTTTAAAGCCGCGGTTTCCTCATTTGTGAGACAAAAAACCAACCAAACAAACAAAACCATTTTGCAAGCTGGTTATTGCGGTTTCCTCATTTGTGAGACGAAAAAAGTAATAGTCATAACGATTTTTGCAAGCTGGTTATTAGGATTTAAGGAGGTTAGGATGCAAGTGCATTGCGCCGTGCCTGGCACTCGATGGACATATCAGTGGCAAACAGGAGGCTTTTCTCATGCTCAGAACCCTGGTAGAGGCTCACCTTATCCAATATGCCAGGCACTTACCATATACCAGGCACTGTGGTCATTATCTCATGTTATCCACACAGTAACTCGCGGCCAGGGGTGGAGCCGGGACCTTTGCTTCTTCACCCTTTCGCGAATCCTCATTCTTTCCTGTGTATCAAGAGGCAAGGACAGATTCCATATAAATTTACTAGTGTATTGTTGTGTGTGGTCGATCGATCCTGACCTATAGTGGTCGTGTATAGGAACACAGATCACATTTTCAGAAGGAAGGGTGTCTCTCTTTGGCATCTTTCCCACCGCTCTTTGGAGCTGTATGTATGTATGTAATGTATGTATGTACTTATTTATTTATTTGCAGCAGTATTTTTATCTCAATCTCTATGCCTTTTTTCCCCTTAAGGACTTGTTTCTTTTGGAACTTTTGTCTCTTTCAAAAGACTCTTGATTCCCACACCAGCAAGGCTTTTCCCATCTTGAAGGCATAAGCTGTAAGTGGCCCTGTGGTTATCCCCTGAGAGGACTGTCACCTGGAATCTTTATTGGCTAACTCCTTGGAGAAAAGGGTCCAACAGAGGTGATAGACCTCTGAGGAGTACCGGTTCCTTCCCAGAGGCTTAGTGATCCCAAAGCCTTCAGTCTCAAAAGAATTATTTCTAAGGATGACACTGTAAAAGATATTCAGAGGGCTAGATATTTAGAGTGGGCTTTTCCAGAACACGGGAGGCACCTCTTGTGATTTCTTGCCCTCTCATCCTGTGAAAACCCATTTCAATTGCTCAGGGATCTTGGCGTTATTTCCTTCTGTAGCATCAAAAGTTTTACACAAATTTTCATCACTGACTTTTCCAAAGAAGCAACTTGGAGAATATCCTTTCCAAATTAGGAATATAACAATGAAGAGTTGATGAGAATAATAGCTAAAATATGTGAGCACTTAAATAAGCGAGTCTCTGTGTTAAACATTTTATATGTATTTTTTTTTCATTGAATCCTCACAACCCAGCATATGGTAGATTCTGTTCTGTTCCCTAGTTTGTAATTGAAGAAACTGACCCTTAAAACAGTTAAGTTACTTAAAGTCACAAAACTTATGAGTAATGGAGTTATATTTTAAACTAGAATTTGACTGGCTCTAAAGATTGAAAATGGTAAATACTACCTTTTTGGTAGTTATCTTTTCCTAAGTGAGACAGTGGATGAAATTCCTGTGACCTGACATCCCAAAGGGAGGATAAAAGATCATGGGGAAAATGTTGGAAGTTTGGTAAAATTGCACTGGGGAATCTTAGCGCAGCTCTTTGGGAATAAACATGACCTACGTTCTTAATGTTTACTTCATTATTTTTTTCATAGTCACAGAGAAGTTTCCTGTGTTCTTTTTCTTACTTTTCTACTTTAAAAAAATCTAATGAAAAACTATTCATCTCTCCCCAGAAAAACACACATACATACAGACTATTGCTTGAGCTTTTGTAGTGCAAAACATAGAAATCTGTTGTTACTCTGGTGATTTAGTGCATTATATAATGAACTAACCAAAAGGTCAGTGGTTTGGATCTGCCAGCTGCTCCATGAGAGTAGGTTGAGCAGTTTTCTCCTGTAAAGAATGGCAGCCCCAGGGGAGCTCTGGTGGCCTAGTGGCAAGGAGCTGCAACTACAATCCCAGAGGCACACGGTTCGAATCCACCAGATGCTCTGCTGGGAAAAGGAGGAACAATCTCCTCCTGTACCAGTCAGATCTGATTTGACGGTACACTCACACAAAAATAAAAAATAAAATAAAATAAAATAAAAGAATGGCAGCCCCGATGAGTCGCTGTGTATTAGAATCAGACACTTCTTGTGATACTATCACTATAATTTATTCTTAGAATTTATTAAGTATTTGTCAAGTACCAAAAACTGCCTAAATGCTTTACAAGCAATAGTTGTAGTCCTTCAATACACGTACTAGTAAAATGTCCTTTATTCATCATTTTACAATAAGGAAAAAGGCTCAGTGTGGAAAAATCACACTGAGGCCATAAAATTAGAGCAAAATTTCAAAGCTGGACTACCTGATTGTCCACACCATTTTCCCTATTCTCGAGCGTCCTCAAATATGCATACCAAAAGTAAGGCCTTTCTGACATCAGAACTTTGCTGAGGGTAAAGGACAGGGTTGCAAAGAAATGTAAATCAGGACATTATATATATACACAAATATACACAAAAACAACACTGTTAAGTGTTTACACCATCTGGAAACTGGGGCCAGGTCTAGGCAAGCCCTTTGAGTTCCTGACACAAGGAATGGCTAGAGTTGGCTAAGCAATCAGGACCTTTTGCATAAGGAAGTTCCATAAAGTGCTTTTCCTAGAAGCAGAGGAATGTAAAAATCCAAACTCTGCCCCTATATACTTTTGAGGAAATTAGTTCTAGAAAAGTAAATACAGCCAGACCAGAGGAAAACTAGTTTCTTCTTAAAGCCAGTGACTCACTCACTCACTTTGTAATGAAACAATGCAGGTGGATTGCAAATAAATGTATCATAGTAATTAAGAGCCATGTCAACAGAATAATATCCCTTTGGGAGAATTTCTGAAAATAAGCAGGATCCTGGGACTGATTTGTTTGTTTCAGTTGTTACAGATGATCAGATTGCGGAGAATTTTGTAACCTCTTCAATAATTAACGGACTGCAAGAATGAATAGTGATAAAGTAACTCAAGTCACAAGACCAAGTCTACAAAACCTCTCATACTTAGGTTAGATAAATTTATGATTCTGTGTGATGTAATTTTGCACTGTAAGTGAAGTCAAAGGCTACTAATTGCCAGTCAGTTTTGAAGGGAAACAGTGGAAAAGATGTTGGTAAAGCTGTTAAATATGGACAAATTCAATTTTTTAAGAAGATATTGATAAACATTGTTCTGAAAAATATTGTAACAAATGAACACATTTCCTCCATCTACCTAACATCTTGTGCATACTTTTGTTATAATGTTTGCAAAGTATTACAATTAGGGAGCTCTAGTTTGTAAAGAGGGAGGTCTAGTAGCCCAGTGGTAGAGAACTGTGATGCCACCTCAAAGGCACACAATTCAAATCCACCAGCTGCTTGCTCCATGGGAGAAAGGTGGGCAGTCTCCTCCTGTGTGATTTATTTTCTTCAAAAACCCACTGGACGGTGGTCAGCTGTTGGTCAGTTCTGACCTGATTTTATGTAACAACAAATTTATAAGGGGTTACACTCAGACCTACTGTCAGCTCCGTAAGAAAAAGACGAGCAATCTCTCCCTGTGTGATTTATAGCCTCAGAAACCCTTGGAGGGTTATTAGCTATGAGTCAGTTCCGACTTGACGGCAATATTTCTCTTACCCTATCTTTATCAAATCATGAGAGTTTGTTCCTTCTTCAGAAGACCAAAGAAGAATTGATGCATTTGAATTATGGTGCTGACATAGAATGAAAAAACCTGCTTTGGAACCAGTGCAAACAGAATGCTCCTTATTAGATGCAAGGATGATGAGATCTCGTCTCCCATACATACTTTGAACATGTTGTCAGGAGGGCTCAGTTCTTGGAAAAGAGCTCAGTGCTTCGTTAAATAGATGGGGGGCAGGGGGATGAAAAGGAGGAGGAGCCTCAGAGAGATGGACTGATATACTGTGGCTGCCACAGTGGGCTCAGCCGTAGCAACACTTGTGAGAATGTGCAAGGCCGGGCGGTGTTTCATTTTATGTAGGGTGACTGTGTCAGAACCAGATTGCCACAACTGACAGAATCTATCATTTCTCAGTATCTAATACATAGTAGACTTGGAAAAATGGTTGTTGAAAAGGAAAAGAGGAAGGGCATGGAAAATTCAGGAGGGTGTTAAAGATTCAGAAGGGCATTAAGAATTCTCATGGCATAAATCATTGTTAAAAGCTTCAGTTATGTTGTTGGAACAGTTTTATTGTTTGTTAGCACTCAAACTGCTGATTTTAGGGTGTGTTCATCAGGTTCCCCATTACGTATTCTTGTTACAGGTGGACTATCTGGGTTTCTAGTATCAACAGGATTTCTTCTTATGCAGATAATATATGTAATAAAGATAATCCTTTTTTTTTTTAATTGAGGGTTAGGAAGAGAGAAATTTAGAGTCACTGGTCAGTAGGAAGTAGAATGTAAGTGTATCAGTTCTGCTTCACATACCCCTGTTTTCTTTTGGAGCCTTAGTGTATACTCTGAGATTAGTAAAGAAACTCAAACCTCAAGTAATTGCACTGGAATTTCAATAAAATACAGATATAACTGGTAAAATGTTTGTTCTAAACTATCAGACTGAAAACTATATCCATCTTTAAAAGAAAGGAAAAAAATGAAACAATGAAACAAAGTACTTTAACTCTACACTAGGTTTCCAGTTCATTTCCTTTAAAAAAAGAAATCCTTTTGCTCTGAAAATGGTACCAATGTTTCTTTTTTTTTTTAAAAAAAGGAGGAAAACTAGTCCAGCCTTGTTATTCAATTGTGACTACCTTGTCCTGTCCAGTCCCTCCCCCAAGTGCTGTCAGGTTGGAGTTTTCAGAGACTGTAAATCGCACAGGAGGAGGTTGCTCATCTTTCTCCTACTGAGCAGCTAGTGAGTTC